GGTGTGTGGGTGTGAGTGTGTGGGTGTGGGTGTGTGGGTGTGGGTGTGTGGGTCTGTGTGTGGGTCTGTGTGTGGGTCTGTGTGTGTGTGTGTGTGCGTGTGTGCGTGTGTGTGTGTGTGTGTGTGTGGGTGTGCGTGTGCGCATGTGCGTGTACGTGTGCGCGCGCGCGCGTGCGGGTGCGTGTGCGTGTGCGTGTGCGTGTCCACGTGCACGCGTGCATGCGTGCATGCGTGCATGCGTGCATGCGTGCATGCGTGCATGCGTGCATGCGTGCACGCGTGCATGCGTGGGCGTGGGCGTGTGTGTGTGTGTGTGTAAGTGTAAGTGTAAGTGTAAGTGTAAGTGTAAGTGTAAGTGTAAGTGTAAGTGTAAGTGTAAGTGTGTATATTTATAAGTGTAAGTGTAAGTGTAAGTGTAAGTAAGCAAACATGTAAGTAGGTAAGCCATCAAGTAAGTAAGTAAGCAAGTAAGTCGGTAAGACGGTAAGTAGGAAAGTAGGAAACTAGGTAATTAGGTAGGTAGGTAAGTAAGTAACTAACTAACTAACTAACTAACTAGCTAGCTAGCTAGCTAACTAACTAACTAACCAAGCAACTAAGGAAATATGTATGTAAGAAAGCAAGTAAAAAAGCAAGCAAATAAATATGCGAATGCATGTATGTAATAGTATGTATGTATGTATGTATGTATGTATGTATGTATGTATGTATGATGTATTTAACTGTATTTATGTATGTATGGATGGACGGATGTATGTACGCCTCTATGTATATGTATGTACACAGGTGCGTCAATATGTGTGTAGGCATGTGCATGCAGATGCTTGGAATATCGCAATGGTCGACTCAGGCTCGCACCTAGGAGCTTCGCTACAGGTGGCGGTGGCGAATGGTCTTCGCTGCAGTTGGAAAGAACTGCCATGTAGCCTGCAGCTTGACTCAAACTGTTGCCATGCTCGGTTGAAAGAGAGCACCCCACTGTTGGAGCACAAATACTGCTCTTACACGACACACAAAGCCTAGATGCCCTGCAGACCACGATTCACAAGCACATCTAAACTCAGCAAAGAGACCTTGGCCCACATAAGTCTGCACGGATCCGCCGTCAGCTGGATCGATGGCCGCGACCCCTGGCCAAATGGTGAGCATTGCGACACCGATGTCAGAAGATGCTCCACGATGCGTGTCATGGGAGTGCAGTGCATGCGGAAAGAGAAGCTGAAAGTCGTTTGACCTGGATCTTTCCTTGGCAGCGCAGGGGGCGTATACCAGCGGAAAGACTGCCACCTGAGTCAACAGAATTCTGTCATGTTGCCCGGGGCGTTCTGTATTGCTCCAAGTAACACATCTGAATTCGTTGCATTCTCAAAGACCTTCACCATGTCGGTGTCCAGCATGTCAGCCAACACCTGGGACGGTCAAGCGCCCAACTCTCTTCATTCATTCTACATAATGCATACAACTTAAAATTGGGAATCGGCAGGGACAAGCGGTGAATGACAGCAGTAAGCAGCCGCCTCGTTGCACTTGCCTCGCAGCTCTGCTGTGCCAGGGAAGGTCCGGTTTCTGCTCAACTGGATGCCGACCTTACTCTCGACAACTTCAACCTCGAGGCACTCTGTGTCAGTCCATCGCGCCCTCACGGCAGACAGGCAGCTCCATGCAAGCGCCCCTTCTGCTGCGGTCGAGAAGACTTCTCTGCCCAAGTGTCCCAGTAGGTGTTGCCTGCGATAGTCGATAGTCACAGTCTGCATGGGCGGGTGCATGATATCAGCCATTGATTGATACAAAGCCCTTCGAAACGCCTAACCCTAGACTCGCGAGCTCCAGAAGTCGGGCCCATGCATCATGCTGACATGTTAGTCAGTCCAGCACATCTATCTGGCATCACAACGATGGCTCGGCCATGTGCCTTGTTGGATGAGCGCTTGAACTTTCCTCGGCAGCATCTATGCAGATGACGTATTGTTGCAGTTGCCTTTCGAGCACAAGTGCTCGACTCCGAAAAGTGAGATACTCGTGAGCTCTAGGACCCTTACTTCTTCCGCTCTTATGCGGAGGAAGCCGTGTGCCATGTGCTTGCACTTTATGTGGCAGCCCTTCTCTGCAGCAGCAGCAGCAGCAGCAGCTGCTGCCAGGGCCTTGAAAGCAATGCTGGGTCAGGGTGACGGCGTGAGGACCCTTCTCGTCGTCTGGCCAGACGGCGAAAAAGAACTGCTTGATGAATCGTGGGGCAGGTTGGCTTCCAGCGGACGATGCAATGACAAATTGTCCTTGGGGTAGTTGCGGAGTTTTTCAGGGTGCAGGTCGGTGAAGCAAGGCAAACATCAGCAAAGAAGATGGCGGTGCTGGGTGCGCTGGAGGCCTGGACTTGCCGCAACTTTGCATGCTCAGGTGTGTGCAAGCAGCGCACAGCCACCTTACACGCGGTCTTGCGGCGCGGCCCAGGAATTGGCTGCCTCTTGGCACGGGTTTCAAGCCTCTGGCAACGGCCTTGCGGCCGTCGGCTATGACGGCCATGGCAAGCAACCACGATTTGGAGCTTGAGTTCACAGGGCTTTGGCCCGAACACGATGTAGATTACGCCACAGACCGCCCCCCCCACCCGCTGATGGTCGTACCACCATCTGGTGAGTGGTGGCTTTCGCCAGTTGGCGATAGCGAGCCTCACTGGCTGCCAGGACAGCAGACGGCCCTTGCAGTCCACTGGAGGCGAGGCCTACGTTGCCATGTCCGCCGGCCGCCATGAGACCCGGCGTGCGGACATTCGCAATGTCCGGATTGGGTCTTCTGGGAGCTTCGTTCCCGGTGTCTCCCTCACCTGGGTTGAGCTCGGCCCAGGACCGGTGCAAGCACATGCTTAGTGAGTGAGCGAGTGAGTGAGTGAGAGAGTGAGTGAGTGAGTGAGTGCGTGCGGGCGGGGGCGGGCGGGGGCGGGCGGGCGGGCGGGAGCGAGGGAGGGAGGGGAGGGAGACGGAGGTAGGGAGTGAGTTGTGTGTGTGTGTGAGAGTGTGTGTGTGTGTGTGTGGATGTCTGAGTGTGCGAGTGTGTGAGGGTTGAGTGAGTCGGTGTGTATCGGTGTACACGGCAAGAGATTGTGCTAAACTTGCTTCTGCTGCTGTTTTGTGGTTTCGCAGAGCCTTGATGCTAACAAGTCCCGGCAACGAGAGACAAAGGCGAGGGAGAGAGAGAGAGACGGAGAGACAGAGAGAGA